GGCTGATGGATCAATCGGACAAACTTTATCTTCTTGAATATCTCCCACAGAAGTAGCAAACTGATCTTGCATCTGCTTGTCCAGTTTTGCCCTCTCTTGCTTCCATTGTTAATTTGCCATCAAACCCTACTCATGGAGCAAATTTACACCTTGATCCAACACTATTATCCTGTAGTATTTTTTAGCATATAAAATTCTCAAATATGCTGGATTCCTCCAATTGTATCTTATCTTATTATTTGCAAGGACAGTGGTAACTAACTTCATATTACTTCACCAGGACACCATCTGGTAAAAAAAGATCCTGATATACCTGGAGCAGGGCATCTTTATACAGCAACTGTCCAGACTCTTCCCTGGCCACTTTCAGAAACAATTCTTTCTTGTAAAAATTTAAAACCTAACAATGATATCTGTGGGAGTCGTATGCCCCCCCCCCCGAGTCCCACTTGGTGCAATTTCTCCAAATGTTCTTGAACCCACCACCTTAACCCATTCCAATACCACATCTCTAAGGTTTATTCCATTTTCAGCATTGCCTCGTGGGAACCAAGAAAATTTAACATTTTCCCTCCATCCTCTATTTTCGAAATCAATCAATTTTTAAAATCAATTTCAGTAAATTTGACTTCATGCCAGTATAAATTTACAGCATTGGCTTTAATCATCTCATTTATTTTCTTCACTTTTGAGCCCAGAGTTTTCATTTGATCTTTAAATGATACTGTTTTATGTAATTCTGCTTTTATTTCTGTCATTGTTTTCACCATGTTTTATCTGATGGTTCCAATTCTGTTTAACTGGGTTCCTCCCCCCAATTTCTATTTTGTTTTATCCAATTCACTTTTAAGATCTTGGGAATCCCCCCCCCATTATTTTCTTAAATTCTGCTAGTAATGTATCCTCTTTCTCTATTCCACTTCTCTCTCTTCCTCTTTATTCAAACTAACTCTTTTCCCCTGCACCTCAGCAAATTCTGGAGATCTCTCCTTTTGCTTATCTTCACCATAAATCTCTGAATTTTCTGCAGAATCAGCCAGCAATCCAGCTATTTCCTCTTCACAAGATCTTTGAAGTCCTGATAAACAATCTGGGGAGGGCAGGTGAGATCTTATGTGTTTCTACTTTGACTCTTCACTTCTTTATCTGCCATCTCAATACTCAATCAACAAGGCAGAAATATCACATCAAGGAAAGAGATTGAGAGAACACTTCTCCCAAGCCTAACCACTTTAAAAATCCCAGACATTTTCTGTGATAAAATATGCATTGTACTCGCTGATCACTTAAATACAGGTAGGAGAATATTCACAAATCTTTCTGTGATTAAAGTGTTACACCTCAGCTGCTAGTCATTCCAGACTGGACCCTCCCTCACACAAGGAAAATGTAATGAAGGCTCATTTTCTGGATCTCCTAGTAGTCTCTCCTGTATAAAAGTATCATGGCTTTTACTGGAGAAAAATAATTATTTTTAAGTACATTTCAGTACTGCCATTTTCAGGAAGGGATACAGAGGAGTTCCACTTTCGGACAATACTAGTAATGAGTTGTAGATGAGACTTGTATTAAATTTCAGCTTTCTTTATCATCAAATGGAAAGGCCTCAGT